CCCCAAAACCCCAAAACCCCGTCTTTGTATAAGAATCTAAATAAGTTATCATTTAAAACTAATCTTATAATCTTCATGGGTTTATTTGAAATAACATTTCGACTTATTGGTCGGTTGATTATTGACCAAATAATCAATAGAAATCTTCTTTTCGAGTTTCCTTTTTATATTTTTACAATTCTTGTTCTTATTCATGATAATTGATAATAGCGCTTCTTCTAAGTGTGAGGAAATAATCATATTAATCTTGATTTTCAAAATGAATCTCTATGTTCTGACCTACTTCGAGAAAATCTAGGTTTTCATCAATTAAGTCTATTAACATCTGATCACCTTCTGGATGATCTATTTATTTGGATTCGCCAACATGGCAATGGAAATATCCTTCATCTTCATCATTATCAATAAGCTACCACTCTTGTTGATTCTCATATTCAAGCAAATCATGAGATTCGCAGCCCTAAATAGCCTTTTGGTGCACCAGTTTCTTCTTAATAAGATTTGGTCCGGTCTTATTAACTTGCTTTACATCTCTATTATGAAGAACTCTGGCCGAGGAAGTTATTCCTGTCATAACCCCTCCTAAAGCGGCTGATGTTGCAGCAGTCTCCCAGACATCCCTCCAGATATCCTTTGACAACAGATATATCTCATTCACAGCCTCTTTATATTATATATACTCTTTTGGCAAGCAAATTCCATGCTCGCACTAAGGAGTAAATTCATTACGCTTGATGTAGTCCATTTCTACCAGTTCATTCCAAATATCAGCTGCAGTTTAATGTCCAGCCCCACAGGTTTTAAGATACTCAATAAACTAGCTCTTATCTATTTTCTTTAGACTGAGTATATTTTTTAAAACAGCTCCTAGAGCCCCAGTTGTCCCGCTTACTATTGCCCCAGATGTTGTCTATAGTGCTACTCTTCCGATATTTGAGGAGGTGGTTGAAATAACACTGTTTAATCCTTGAGTTGCACCGGATGCTACTCCTCCTGTAAGTCCACCAATCAAGGCTTGCTTAAATACACCTTTAGAGATTTTTTTACCTTCAACTGCATTTGAAATAACTTTAGTTCCTGCACCAGCAGCAATTCCACCTGCCATATCAGCACCAACTTGAATTCCAATTCTAGTAGCTGTACTAGTGGCGATACCACCTCCAGCTCCAGCCAATGCTCCTCCAGCTATTGATATTGGAGCTGCTATTGCTCCACCAGCAGCTCCAATGCCAGTTTAAAGCCCCCATCTTTTATAATCAAATCTATCACTGTCATTTAGTGCTTGTTAAGTCGTAGAAACTGCTCCAGATACTCCAGCTCCCAAGATTATTCCTCCTGCTACCATTCCAATAGGACCACCGACTACCATTAAAGTGATGCCTGCGCCAGTTGTCAAGACACTAGTTGAGCCTGCAACTGCTAGTCCTTCCTTTTTTGATTATTTCTATCCCATCAATGAAATAATACGAGCAATCTTAAATTATATTTCTAACTTGAATTTTCAATTTCTACAAACATTCCTCGGGGTTTTGGGGTTTTGGGGTTTTGGGG